TGACTTCGGGGAAGAGCAGGAAGTTGCAGTGTCAGATCCGGTGACTAAGGTGGACGAGGACACAGCGTTGTGTTCTTATTTGACAGAAATTTCTATAAACCTTTTGAAGCAATTCGAGACATCCACAAAGACACTCATGAAAGAGGACTCCGTTGCTGCCTTGGAAACACTGATTCGAACACTCACCCTATTTCTGGCCCCAGGCGCGTGCTCTGGAGATGTGAGGTGACCTGTCTTGAGCGGGATGGGACAGGGTGGTGACCGCACCAGTGGTGGAAATTCAGGCTGAGCTGTGTGGAAATGGGGGCTCCCAGGTCCTTTGAGCTCACTCCAGGATTGGCCAAGAGCTGCATGCAGTGGAGACTCACAGGACCCGGTGGCGCCCGTGGTGCCTTCGACTGCCTGTCCTTGGGCCCTGGCACTGCCCACGAATCCACCGGGGCAGGGAGCCAGGCGCGTGCAGGGGCTCTCACACTGTGAGCAGCAGGTGCTGCTCAGCATCCCCACAGGGCCCTGGTCACCTTTCCCCGAAGCCCGAACCTGCCCTGCCCCAGTGGCTCATGGGAGTGGGCACCATAGGCCGACCCAGCCTCAGTCCATCCTGTGGCCACCGGTAGGGATAACTCAGCCCCAGGCAAGTCATCTGGGGGACCCTGTTATGAGAGCCCCCTGGGATAGCTCTCTGTCCGGGCACTGCTCACAGGGTCCCTGTGAGGAGGGACCACTGTTCCCCAAGCAACCCAAGGAAGGATTAGGGGACACTCAGCCCTCACATCTGGGAAGAGGTGCAGGGAGTGAGAACTCAGAGTTCCCAACTCAGTGACTCTGCTCCCCAGCATGACCTGGGAGCCCCCAGCGTCACCCACTCACATCCCAGGCCACACCGGCCCTCAAGAGGCTGCATGAAAAGAACCATCCCTCCCTGTAGCTCAGCACACGCTTGACCTCCCCAGCCTTCCCCTCTTGACCACACGTGAGTGGATGAAAGGGTGATGGGAAAAGGACAAGCTAGGCCTGCGATCCCAGCCCTTTGGGAGACTGAGGCAGGATGACTGAAATTTCAGCCCAGCCTGGGCCACATAGTAACTCAGTGAGACCCTGTCCCAAAAATAAATAAATAAATAGGGCTGGGATGTAGCTCTGTGTGAAGGCCCTGGGTTCAACCTTTAGTGCCAGGAGGAAATCAAAAGGCAAACAAAAGCCAGAGCAACTCAAAGCCCTGTTCAGCCCAGTAGGCTGTCTCTCTGGGGCGGAAGTTGGTTGGGTTTGTGGGTCCCCCTGACTGGGCAGGTCGTGGGGAGTGGAGGAGGCCCAATGTGCTGAGGGCGTCCTCTGGCCACAGCTATATTAAGATCAGTAACATCGTGCAGCAAACATCTGAATCATCACGAGCCTTGCCGGCCGGGGTTTGAATATGCATGAGAAGCTGCCCAGAAACGACTAAAATACACACGCGACTCACAGATAGTCAGAAAGCAAGCCAGCTCCGGGTGACAGGCAACCAAAGGCAGCCTGGCTGGGGACGGGGTGCAGCCACTGCTGAGAACCTGTCACAGCAACGCGCAGGTCAGGAAATTCGACGGCGCTCCTCAGAAAGCCTCCCACGCCAACAGCTCCTGCATCGTTCGCCAGGGCGGTTGCCAAGCAGCTGGGAGGTGTGGGGTCAGGATGAGGCACTCTCAATGCTGCGTTCCTGAAAATCACACGCACCCCCTCTTCCCAGGGACAGCAGGTTCCACTTTCTTCTCTGTGACTGCGGTGAAGAATAATCACGTAATCAAAGTCTCCAAAATGCTACTCTGTGATCCTGGCACTCTTGGAGGCCGAGGCAGGAGGGTCTCCAAGTTTGAACCTAGACTAGGAAACTTAGCAACTTAACAAGAACCTGTCTCAAAATAAAATAATAAAAAAGGGCTAGGGATGTAGCTCAGTGCAAAGATCCTAGGTTTCGATCTTTAGTACCCTAAAATAATTTTAAAAATTGCTGCTGGTTGGTTTAAGTTTGTTTGGGAGTGGCTGATTGTCAAAGTATCGAAATAAGTATAGGCCGAAAGCAAAGTGCACAGGGTGTAGGCCTGAGGGCTGGCACTGACAAGTGAAGGTAGGGCCTGGGAGTGGCAGCAGGGGGCACAGAGGGAGCCACAGCCAACCCCACACTCAGGGAGTGGAAGAGAGAGCTCTTGAGAGGAGGCGATGTGCTGAGAAACAGAAGCTGAATCCCATTATGGAGCCTGACGGGCTCACTCAAGAAGTAAAAAATTTTAAATGTGCCTGGCACCCGGGACTGCTGGGAATCATCCCTGCTGGAAGTAGTGCAGGGCTCCATCTCCTAGGCAGGAGCGAAGTCCTCCATTCGTGCACTACGCATTGCCCAAGCGCTTACTCTGTGACCGTGGGCAGACTGCTGGGGTTTCAGTGGCCATCCTGATCCCAGCCCCTGTCCTCACAGAGGTCTGGCAAGGGAGACAGAGACTGATTGGGTCAATAAGGACCACACAGATGGAAGCCACATGGGCACCAGCGGGCAGCCTCCGACACAGGACAGTGGGGAGAAGGACCCTGGGTACAGCTGGAGCAAGGGTGGGAGACAGACTCCGCAGGGAAGGGGAGAGGGCAGTGTCTGGCTACCAGGGGCTGGTGTGGGCAGCAGGGGGCACCTCTGAGGTCCAGCTGACCTGGAACCCGGCACTAGGGTCTCCATCAGGGCCTCCTCCATGGCCTGCGTTCCAAGGCCTGGTCAGAGCCACTGGGCCAAACCAGTGTTCTGACCTGAGTTTGGTCCCCAGAACCACATGTGCTCGTAGATGGGGCTTTTGGAAGCTGATTGGACGATGGGGGCTTAGAACTGACTGCTGTTGGGAGGCGGGGCCTGATGGAAGGGGCGGCCCTGGGGGTGTGGCCTGGAAGCATTTATCTCCCTCCTCAGGGCCTCCCTGTCTCTCTGCTTCCAGTGTCCATGATGTGAACAGCTCTGTTCCACCAGACCCTTCCTTCCACCATTCCACCCTGCCTGGAGCCATCCAACCATGAACTGCAACCATGAGCCAAAATATGAAAGTTTTCTTTTTTTTGGCTCCGGGGACCAAACTCAGGTCCTTGCGCTTTTGAGGCAAGTGGCGGAACCACTGAGCTAAATCCCGGGCCCATATACAATAGAGTCTGCTTCTTTTTGTTTTGTTTTGTTTTTTGGTACCAGGGATCGAACTCGGAAGCTTGTGCTTGGGAGGCAGGCGGCAGAATCACTGAGCTAAATTCCCAGACCCGTGAGCCAAAATAAACCTCTCCTCCTTTAAGTTGTAAATGTTTTGTCCCAGCAACAAAAAAGTGACTAAGACAAGATATGATATATATATATATACACATACATACATATGTACTAATCCCCCCAAAGGAATGAATTACTATGCATCACAAACATGTACTAATCCAAAAAGCAAAGAAAATGAGATGTAAACATTCAAAACGAAAACCTTCTGACAGTGTAGCCAATGCATGTGCCAGCAGGAGCCTGGCCTGGGCGCATTAGCAATTGGGTCTCATCTCAGTCTGGCTGTCACTACGGCCCACACAGCCCCGCGTGGCCAGCAGAGCCCCGACTGCAGGCAGAGTGCCGCCGGCCAGCACATGGAAAGCGGGCTGCTCCGGCGCACCGGGCACTGGACTCTGGAGTCCACACTGCCCCCTCCTTCACTGCGGGCCCACAGGCAGCACCCAGGACCAGGGTCCCAGCCAGCGGCACAGCAGCCCTGCCTCTCCGATCGTGGGAGAGTGACGTGGAGCTGGTGACCGCGGCCACGCCAGCTGGCAGCAATCGCCTCAGAAGCAGAGATGATGAGGCGCAGAGTCCCCTGGGCCTTGTCCAGAATCTTTCTCTGGGAAACCCACACCGTCTCCCCAGCTGCGTCTTGGGCTGTGTGGAGTGGAGAAAAGGTTTTAGGGGGAGCTTACGCCGCGATGGCTGGTGACACTCCCAGTGCAGCGCCAGGCGCCTGGTGCCGGAGCTGCCTTCCCACGGGCGCCAGGTGGGAGGCTCTGAAAGCTTCTCCTCGCTCATCTTTCTGGAGAAGCCAGGAGACACCCCAGATGCTGAGATCGCCTCCTGGGTTCCAGGAGGGGCAGGCAGCCCCTCAGGGCAGGGCGAGGCCATTCCAGGACCCTGCTCACAGCGCTGTCCCGAGAAAGCCGGGACCGGGCCATTGCCTGAGAGCCCGTGCGCAGTAACTCCGGGTCAGCGCTCTCAGAGGCCCTGGTCCCGTTTGATGCGGTACCTCCAGGCCCCAGAAGGGGACCACAGACTCAGATGCCTCCCACAAAAGCCAGGATAGAGCCCAAACTCCACACAACCTGGCATCGGGCCCAAAAAACAGCACTGTTTCAGAAGGAAACGCATCCCTCTTTCCTTAACCCGCACCACCTGAGCCAGCGCGCTGGGCCTGGGGACACCTCACAGAGAGACAGACATCGCCTTCTTAGGAAGCTGGGGTCGTCCCAGAGGAAGGGCCGGAATGGGGCCCGCGGTGTCCCCTGGAGGCTCTGGGCGTAACCCTACCTCTGCCACCAGCACTAGCCTTCTGCTCTCTGGGCCTCAGTTTCCCCATGTGTAAAGATGAGGCAAACCCGTTCGCCATGCACAGTTGTTTAGAAGCTGGAGTGAAATTGCTCAGGACATCAGAGGGGACCTCAAGTAGCAGGAGCCAGGACCGCAGGCTCGAGGGGCCCTGGGGGACGGGAAGAAGGGGGCTGTGGCCCGGGCTGAGGGAGCGGGGTCCCCTCCTGCCCTCCTCCAACAGTCCGGAGGTTCTTCCCTGCCCCCTTCCCTCGGCTCCCACCTGCTCCTGAAGCTCACCTGGAAGCCACTGCTTCCGCCCAGGTGGGCAAACTTCACATACAAAGGACCAGGGAGGAGCTCGGCCAGGCTCTGGAAGCTGCCTGGTCTTTGTCTCAGCCCCCAGCTCTGTGTTCAGTGACCCCCAGATCCTGGACAAATAAATAGACATGGCTCTGTTCCAACAGGACTTTATTGTGGACCCAGAAATTTGCATTTTACGTACTTTTTGCTGGTCACAAAATGTAATTCTTTCTTTGAGATTTTTTCCAAACATTTAAAAGTATAAAAACTGTTCTTAACTCATGGGATGGACGGAAGCAGGTCGGGGGAGGAGGGACAGATGGGGCTCCTGGAGCCAGAGTTTGTCCACCCTCCTTGGGGTCCTGGGCCCGGCGCCAGCCCCATGGGAGTGCTTCTTGGAAATGCAGAATGGTGGCCCTCCCAGCCTCACAGATCCAAAATCTACATTTTCACAAAATCTCCAATGACTCAGGTGTGCTTAAAAGTAAAACAAAAACAAAAAAACCCTGGCTGCTCAGCGTCCCTCCCAGAGATTCTAATTTAATAGGAATGGGGTACAACCTATCAGTAGGAGTTCTTAAAGCTGGGGCAGAGGCGACAGGACCTTCAGAGTACTCTGGGGACAGCTAGGGACACAAGGCACCACCCCACATCTGCCATGCTGTCTGTCCCTCCGAAGCCAGGGACACCTCCTTGTCCCTTGCAGCTCACCCTGAGCACACGGAGATGACCTCAGCTCTCTCCCAAGACTTCCCCTGCAGGGATCCCCTCCAGATGACAGCTGCCACCCTCTCCACCCTCCACCTACCCTTGCCAAAAGCATCCACACCCCAAGGCTTTCCAGTCCTGGAGCACAGACCTAGAAGGACCCTGGGGAACCATGGGAAAATTGAGTGGGGAGGGGAAGTGTCCCCAGATGGTGGCTGACAGGACAGACCCCTTCCCCGTCTACACCTCTGTCCCCTTCCTGTCCCCAACACTGGCATCTCAGGGGAGGGAAGAGCAGAATTCTGGGGCTGGTAGATGGTGGCAAGCTGCGGACAGTGTGACAGTGTCCTGTACCCACTCCCTGCACGCTCAGCCCAGATCTGTGGAGGGTGGGCTGAGGGCCAGTGCCATGGCCTCCTTCCAAGCGCAGAGAAACAGAGCCAGCTGCCATTTATTGAGCACTTACTAAGTGGCAGGTGCTGTCCCAAGAACCAGGGTTCTCCGAGGTCATTGTTTTATATCCAAATTTAACAAATAGTCAGATGGGGATCAACAAGACTGAGGCCACACAGCTAGCAGGAGAATGGTGGGAGAGATACACTAGTGAAAAGCCCTTAAGCTCCTGCACCTCCAATCTTGTCCTCGTGCCCTGAGCTCAAACCAGGTCTGTCTGTTCATCCCCTGAGCTCAGACAAGGCTGGCAGGGGACCCGGGGGGCCGGGCTTAGGGCTGTCCATGAAGCAGATGCCTCAGAGAGATCTGAGTGGAAGGGTGGGCTAGGATGCACCCCCTCTCCCTGCCCCTCTCCCTGAAGCCCCCTTGTGAGCCCAAGGAGAGCCTGTGGCCGAAGACCCCCTGGCATCCCCAAGAAGAAACCCCAGACTGAAACTCGGGCCTGTTTCTCCATCGGTAAAATGGGACACTTGTCTAGCACGGTCACCAGAAAGAACAGGAAGAAGTTGTGCAAAAGTCCCCAGACAGGGGCCAGGGATTTAGCTCAGTGGTTTCACCGCCTGCTGCGTGAGCGCAAGGACCCGAGTTCGATCCCCGGTACCAAAAAAAAACAAAAAACAAAGTCCCCACGCAGGTGACAATTAAATGGTGACCTCACTGTTCCTCAGGCTCTGTCACTTCTCCCCTCCCCCAGCCCTGGGGTGCTGGAAGCCAGCTTCACCCCCGAAGGAAAAGAAGGAAGATGTCACCTGGGGAGCCTCCCGGAACATGGCCAGGCGCCTGGGCGCCGCACCCTGCCTGCCTCGGAGCCCCTCTTTAATAACCTCCTCCCTCATCCAAGGCTGCACATCTACATCCCGGCCTGGCACTGGGGTGTGGCTGAGCCACTCTCGGGGTGACACGGAAGCCACAACACAGGGGGCACACGCAGCGGGAGCTTTAGGGAAGGAGACACAGAGCCACTCCGCGCACCCCACGCGGCCCTGCACCCCTCCCACCCCTGGCCTTGCCCCTTACCCAGCCTTGCTCGGCAGAGGCGCCCCAAGGGTCTGTCTGGGGGAGGCTTGGGGACACCTGGCAGGCCTTCTCCTCTGCCCCAGGGTCTGTCGCTCCGAGGCCCAGCCGTCCCTGGTGTGGCGCCCTCCGTCACTTGCAGCTCTGGATCCTGGTCCTGTGGTGCTTCTCCTCGGTCAGCAGGGGGATGGAGGTATCGCTGTGGGAGAGCTTCAGCCGGCTGCCCCAGCTCGGTGCCTCCTTCCCCGCGGGCTCGGGAGGCAGGGTGTCCAGGTCGCTGCGGGAGCCGCCGGGCTTGCTGTCTCCAGCGCTGCCGGAGTTGAGCTCCATGAGCTCCAGCTCATGCTTGGCCGCGGTCTCCAGCACGCGCTGCTTGTTGTAGTACCTGACAAAGTTGTTGATGATGGGGTGGATGGGCAGGGCGATGGCGATGACCCCGCACAGGAAGCTGATGGCCGCGTTGAGCTTGCCCAGGGTGGTCTTGGGGTAGATGTCGCCATAGCCAACGGTCGTCATGGTGATGATGGCCCACCAGAAGGACTGGGGGATGCTCTTAAACAGGGTCTCGGGGTGGCTCTGCTCCATGGTGTAACCCAGTGCCGAGAACACAAAGATGCCCACGGCCAGGTACATGAGCAGCAGCCCCAGCTCCTTGAAGCTGCGCTTGAGCGCGTAGGTGAGGGTCTGCAGCCCTGAGGAGTGGCGCGCCAGCTTGAAAATGCGCGCGATGCGCATGATGCGCAGAGCCTGCACAGCCTGCTGCACGTTGGTGAGCTCCATCATGCGTGCACCCAGGTGTGTGAGTGTGAGGCTCACGTAGAAGGGCAGGATGGCCAGCACGTCCACGATGTTCATGAAGGACAGCGCAAAGTGCAGCTTGTTGGGCGACGAGAAGAGGCGCAGCAGGTACTCCAGCGTGAACCAGCCGATGCACGCCGTCTCCACGTTCTCCAGCGTCGGGTGCTCCACGCGGTTGCCCTCCGAGTCCACTACCTGCAGCTCGGGGATGGTCCCCATGCACATGACCACAGACGACACCAGGATGAGCAGGAAGGACAGCACGGCCACCACGCGCGCTGGGCACGACGACTCGGGCTTCTCCAGGAACTTCCACACGCGCTTCTGGCAGCAGCGCCAGCGGCCCTCGGCGGCGTCCACGCCCAGGTCGTCGAGAATGAGCTGCACGCGGCGAGCGATCTCCTCCAGCTCCTCGCGCTTCTCGCTCAGGTGGCTTTTGCAGCAGTCGTCCAGGAACCTGAGGTCCACCTTCCAGAACTCCATCTCGTTCTTGAAGCAGATGGGGCAGATGCCCTTCTTCATGTGCACCTCCCCGAAATAGTACACCTCGACGACACACTTGAACGCGTCTGGGTCCCTGTCGAAGTAGAACTCGCGCTTGCCAGGGTCGTAGTCGTCGCACAGGGAGAAGATGGTGTCGTAGCCCCCGGCCAGGCAGTTAATGAGCTCCGCCAGCCGGGTCTCGGGGTACTGGCTGAGCAGGTCTCCGTACAGCACCTGCCTCACGCCTCCCACGTTGACCACTATCTCGATGTCCTCGCCGGTCGCCGCTGAGCCCCGGCTGTCCGGCTCCGCCAGGCTGCGCTCCCTGGCTCCGTCCATGCTCCCGGCGCGAGCGTTCCCGCCCGGGCTGCGCGCGCCCCGCCGCCTGCGCGCGGGTTCCGGAGGGTCCCTCGGTGCGCGGCCCCCGAGGAGCCTTGAAGGGCGCTCACAGCGAGCAGCAGCCGGCCGGGGCGCACGAGGGCTGCATGCACCCCGCGGCCGGGCTCCGCGCGCGCATCCGTGCGCCCAGGGCGCGCAGGCAGGGGGTCTGGCGGCCGGCGGCCTCGCTTCGGGAGCTGGCAGTGATCTTCGGCTCTGGCTCGGCCTCCTGCAGCAGCACCAGGAGCAGGGTAGGGAGGAGTGGGGGTCTCCGGGCGGGTCGCGAACACCTTCCTCTTCCCGGAGCGCGCGTGCAGCCGCCGGACCCAAGCAGTGAGCGGAGGTGCGCCGAGAGCCAACTTGCGCTCTCTGCCCGAGCGGGTCCAGGCACAATAGGAATTCCAGCCTGACGTCAGGAGCTTTTCCGCGGTACCCTCTTCTGGTGAGATTCCGCACGGCACGCGCGCGGCGGCGGAGCCACCGGTTAACCCTTGGGCAGACGGGCCCTGCCACGCCGCGTCCCCCGAGCCACTTGGTGGTTGCCAGGGGCTTGGAAGCGGCAGGCTGCTCGGACTGCAAAGTCCCCCTGTTGTCGCCGCTGTTGGCCAGGGTGGATGGCGAAAGGACACGGCAGCCTGTTGCGCGACAGGGAAGGACCCCAGCTCGCTCACAGAAGCCCTTCACTCCCTTCCCCACCCTAGACTCCAGCCAGGCCAGGGTGGTGGTGGGGTTCCGCTCCCTGACGCCGCCACCTCTGGTGTCACCTTCACCCTTGACTCGGACTCCAGCTTCTTCTCAGCGCCCAAAGCAAAGGGGTGGCCTCCCCTGAGCCCAGCCGCCCTGCCCAACCCCTGACTTCCGGCTGGTTTAAATTCTGCCCGGGACTTCTTGCTGGCCTTTCTCTTTCCCAAAGCCAGGAGCGGCCGCTCCTGGAAGGGTGAACAGGCAGGGCCCAAGGCCTTCAGGGCCGTGAATGTGTGCTTGATACCGGCACGGTGGACACGTGTCGCACATTTGTCAAAGCCCACAGAATTTGCAGAGCGGGAACAACGTCGTGCAGTGTAAGCCGTGGACATGGGGTGACGAGATGCATCCTGGTGGGTCCCTGCCTGGTAGTAAGTACACCCCTTGACGGGGGATGTGGGTGGGGGAGGCTATAGAGATGGGGGGGGGAGCTGTGCTTTAGTTTCAGTTTTACTGTGATCCTAAAACTGCTCTTAATTTTTTTTTTTTTTTGAGACAAGGTCCCACTGTATAGCCCAGGCAGACCTCAAACTCACAGCAATCTTCCTGCCTCAGCCTCCCAAGTGCTGGGATAACAGGTGTGCAACGCCACGCTCCAAACCATCTTAATTTTTTAAGGCTATTAAGGATGTATTTTGGTCAGTCGTGGTGGTGCACATCTATAATGCCAGCACTCTGGGAGGCTGAGGCAGGAGGATGGAAAGTTCAAGTTCAGCCCGGGCAGCTTAGCAATTTAGGGAGAACTTGTCTCAATTTTTAAAAAGCTTTCAAAGGGCCAGGGATGTAGCTTTGTGTGAAGGCCCTGGGCTCAATCCCAATCCCTGTATGGAGAAATATATATATATGGAGAGAGAGAGAGAGAGAGACTATAAAACTGATTATATTAGAATACATCACACAAAATAAGTATTGCGTGGTGAAACTTCTTTTCACAAATTTTATTTCATTCCCGTTTAGAATCAGCCTATGATGAGTTCCTCCAGAGCAGGAAGCTGGGGCTCTGAAAGGTTGGGTGGTAACAATTAACACTGTTATTGTAAGGTACTGTCCACCAGCACCCTGGGTGCTTGGAGATTTTCCCACTGCGTCCCCAGTGGGATGTGGCCCGAGGCAGGCCTGAGCGCAAGGTGCCGCCCCACACTTACCCCGATTCCATCCATCTTCCAAGCTGGATTCACGCCAAGCTGCTCTCTGCTATCTGTGCCGCTTCTGCAGGGCTAAACCCAGATTGCATCTCGGCCTGAGTTTAATGGGTTTTAAAACCCGTGCATTGAATCACGCATTCAAATATTTATTGGGCTCCTATGGCGCTCACACTCCACACCCTGCCCGGGCCGGGGACAGAGCTGTCCTCCGTGGAGAAGACGAGGGTGTCAGGGGAATAGCAATCACCAGGCCAATCGCTAAGGAGACAGGGGGCACGGGGGTGCGCTTCCTGGATCCCCCGACAGGGGGCGCTGAGGGCCCCATCTGGCTCACTGGGTGGAGAGTGCATTGCGTGCCTGGTGGAGACCCCTCGGCCAAATGAGTTCCGCCGCCACCCCTTGGCACCTTCCCTCCTGAGTGCTTCTGGAATCCGAAATCTGGGCCTCCCCGGCCCAGAGAAACTGCTGTGTTACACCCATACCCAGTTGTCACCCACGGAGGTGGCCGGGTGCTGACACAGCAAAGTCAAGGGCCCAGAAGGACTCCTGTATTACACACATGTCCCTCGAGAATAGCACCGGCTCAAGCAGGCAGAGGCGGGAATGAGGGGAAACTGAGGCGCGGCCTTCCCTGAAGAAGGCAGGAGGCGCAGTGAGCAGCTGGGACTGGCGCGTTGGGCGTGATTGGGGTGGGCTCGGGATGGCAGCGGTGGCCTCCCGGGGCTTGGTAGCCGGGCAGGGGGAGGACTGGACTGGGACCGAAGGACCCCCTGCTGTGGGGCGACCTGGCAGGCGCTGTCTCTCTGCAGATCCCCAAGCATCAGGAATACCTGAAATAAGAAAGTCTGGCTAATGCAGTATTGGCAAGTCTTGGCTGGGAGGAAATATGGTTAGGACAGCTGGAGACAGAGATGGCCCTGAGGAGCTGGGGTGTGATGGAGCCTCGCAGCCAAGGGCCTTTTGGTGCCTCGGAGAGCAGGGGACTCAAGGCATGGTGTCACAGGCACGCAGACCAGAGGACTGAGGGGCCCGGGAAGCTGGGACCACAGCCAGCAAGCATTTCACTCAGGTCACCACATGTGTGTGATCAGAAGTGGAAGGAGAAGCCAGGCATGGTGGCTCATACCTCTAACCCCAGCACTCAGGAGGCTGAGGCAGGAGGATCACCACAAGTCCAAGGCCAGCCTGGGGTCCATAATGAGTTCAAGGCCAGCCTGAACTACATAGCAAGCCCCTGTCTCAAAAAAAAAAATTTTTTTAAAAAGGAGAAAGAGAGAGAGAGAATTCACATGCCATACTTGTGTTCAGCAGACAACCCAGGTGCTTTGATTATACTCACAGGGTCGTTCAGCCCTAAATACTATGTAGTTTAAGAACATTTTCATCGCCTCAAGAATAAACCAAGTACAGCTGGGCGTGGTGGTGCATACCTGTAATCCCAGCACATGGAAGGCTGAGGCAGGAGGATCACTTAATTCAAGGCCAGCCTGAACTGCAAAGCAAGACCATATCTCAAAAAACAAAAATGAACAAAAAGAATAAATCATATACCTTACAGCCATGAGCCCCAGCCTCCCAGCCCAAGCAGCCACTAATCTACTTTCTGTCCACAGGTTTCCCTATTTGGGGTATTTCAGATAAATGAAATCCTATAGCAAGTGACTTTTGTGACTGGTTTCTTTCACTCTCCATGCTTTTAAGGTTCAACCATGATGTTGCATGTATCCATGCTCTATTACTTTTTGTGACTGAAGAATAATCCATTACATGGATAAATAACATTTTGTTTCTAGCCCATTGTGGCCAGTGGCTGCCATATTGGGCAGGTCAAGTAGGAGTGGGTAGTGTGGGAAATGGGCAGGGCCTCTCAGGCTGCCATATTGGGCAGGTCAAGTAGAAGTGAGCGTTGAGGAGTGAGCTGGGCCTTCCCACCTGCCATATGGGGCAGGTCAGATAGAAAGGGCAGTGAGAGGAGCGGGCAGGACCTCCCAGGTAAACAAAAGGGAAGCCACCCAGGCAGAGGCAGAAAGGGCCCGGTGTGACCTCCACACAGATTGTACCCTCCTGCTGCAGCACAGCCTCACCCAGCTCTGGGCTCTCCATTTCCCACCCTTCGAAGCTCAGTCTTTGGTGTTTCCGCCTCTGCTAGGAGGACTCCCAGGATGTCCTCCTTCCCTTCCCCCAGGGACCAGGGTGTGTCACCCTGACTCAGTGTCTGGTACGCCACCCCACCCCACCCCGCCCCGCCCCACCCACTGGCTAACCCCTGTGCCTATGCCCCTGGGGACAGAACATCCATGCTGCACAGGCACGGAGGGAAGGAACAACAGGGAACTTCACTGTGTGCAGCTCTGTAGCTCTGTGGCCATAAGGACCTTCGCGTCTACCAGGGCCTGAGTGTGCTCAGCCTCTTAGCGCTGCCTTCGGACCTGCTAAGCCCTCCCTAGTCTCCCCCCGCTCCCCTGGACAGGGGCCCTGTCCTCTGGCCCCACAGCCCCTACCTGGCTGTTGTATTAGGCTGGGATTCCATAGATTTAAATAAAATAACACACAAACAAAAAGACTTCGGGAGGCTGAGGCAGGAGGATCGAAAGTTCATCTTCTGCCTGGGCAACTTAACAACTTAGCAAGGCCCTGTCTCAAAATTTTTAAAAATGAATTAAATGAAAAGAGCTGGAGACGTAGGTCAGTGCAGAGCACCATGGATTTGATCCCCAGTACCATACACACGCACGCACGCACACACACACACACACACACACGCACACACACACACACGAATGCCCACAAAGACCATGATGCGACCTTCTCATAGCAGGTCACAGGTGCACAGAAACTGAGCCAGCAGCCTGCATCCACAAAGTACCCAGGAAAAAAGTCTGGATTTTTTTTTTCCTAAAAATGAAAAATTTCTTGCTGTGGTATATTTGGCCCTGCAGATGACTTCTTTCATGCTGCCCAGGGCCTGGGGGCCAGGACACAAAAATATCATGTTAGACACAAAGAACAGCAGCAGTCTAACTCCTGGGTTTTTCATTTAAGGGAGGAAGAAAACACAAAGCATTAAACTACTTAAAGCATAAAACTACTTAAGCATTATGGAAAGCGATTGTTTGAGCTGTGCTCTTCTTTATTAAATGTGGTTTTTTTATTTGATGAACAATAACATTTTAGGCTACAAACTGTTTCATTTCCATGACGCTAATTAAAACCAGCCCGTGTGTGCCGCAGCGATTTGTCTAGACTGCAAAGCACGCAGGCTGTAAACTATTCCCTTTTGATGAACTAATCAGTTCTGCTCGGTTAGAATTTCTTTGTGTCTTGCTGAATTTAATAACATCTTTCATTAAGATTCAGTTCAGTGCTCTGTGAAATTTTGCATTGCTTTACTGGCTGTGCAGGCTTCAGCAGCAGCAAGCGCTGCATCCCTACCTCCCCCTCCTGTCCGGCCCCCTTCTGTCCCTTCCACTCCTGACCCTCCCCCCAGGTGAGAATGACTGACCGCAGGCCCCGCCCATCGCTGCTCTCGGAAGGGCCAGGGCCAAGCGGGTGGGAGGCAGTGCTGGATAAAATCAGGCGGAGGGAAAGGAGACTGATGTAAAACTGAATCAGCAGGAAATTCTGGTTTTTTGGTTGGTTGTTTTTCGGGGGGCGGTGAGACAGGGTCTCCCTATGTAGTCCAGGCTGACCTTGCACTCATGGCAATCCTCCTACCTCAGCCTCCCAAGTACTGGAATTACAGACGTGCACCACTATGCCCAGTTTTCTTTTTTTAACCCCAGTGCCTAAATTTCTTTTTTCTTTTTCATGCCTCAATCTTTTTCATGAGCAAGATGGAACTGGTGACCCTTTCTTCCTGACTACCTGATCTGATAGGAACAAATAAACTGTTGGCAT